TTTTATATATTAATTTGTTTCTGACACTTTTCTTGGCATCCTTCATCCTTTTCCATTTATCTCAAGTTTACCGAGCCCCATAACACACTTTATGCAAAACACTCTCTTCCTCACTGTGTCCTGAATTCAGCCTTAGTTGGGTGTGAGTTGAACCAGACAATCCCTGGAGTGGACAATCCCTCCTTCCATATTTCCACCAGTCACTCACTGACTCTTGGGAATGTCTGAAGTCCCATTTCTCTCCATCTAAAGACCAAGAATCAAATGTTTCTTATGTGATTTGGGTTAGGATTTAAGCTTCTCATTGTTTCCACTGGACACTTTGCCATTCTTTTTTCACACTTATTTTCACCAGTAATGATATCCTTTCTCAGCAGAGTGCCAATGGTATGTTTTTCTGTTTGTTTACTGTGAGAGTGTACTGAAAGGTGAGCAAGACCAAATTCTGACTCCCTGCTGGGACCCTGCTGAGGGCTATTCACAACTCCTTAAACCAACCTGGCCTCAGCATTAGCACCAGGTTCCTGCTGGTGTTTGCAATGGCTTCCACCAGAGTCTGCAGGCCTCTCCTCCAATGTGGGCTGAGTGTTACAGTTTATTTCCCCCTTACACCTCTCTTTAGCAGTCTGAGGTCATGAGTAACCTGAGAGTTTGGCTGTGAAGTAAACCACAGAGGACACCTTAGGGCAGATGTTTGGCATCAACAGGAGCTGAGCTGGAGCTCATGGGTCAGGGCTGGTGCCAGAGCCAAACCACATGTGCGTAGAGCCTCAGGAAGGTGCCAGAGAGACTGACAGGCAGACCAGCCTGCTTGCTCTCGCCTGGAACAGAGCTGACACTCCAGATGTGCTTGGACAGATGACCACATCCCACTTTGTCTCACTCACAAATACTCGTGTGCCCTTTTTGGAGAGAGTGAAATAAAAAAAAGAAAAAAGAGAAAGAAAATTCAAACCTCATACATTTTTCAGTTTATCCCTGAGTGGAAAAGATCTCCAGAACATGTTCATCCTGCATAACGTACCTGTGAGTGTGCAAGCCAGTGAGAAATCTCTTCTTGGAAGTGGAGCTCCTGCAGACTCTCTGTGGCCCCCAGGGTCGAATATATTCTCGTTGGGCTTGCAGAATCATCAACATTCAGGTTACAGAGGGTCTGAGAGGGGATGCTTGGGGAGACATCCCTGGTGGTACAGAACAGTTCTATCCAATATGTTTGCTCCTTATGATCACATGCCAGAACACGTGTGTGTGTGTGTGTCTATCTGTCTGCAACGTTCGCTCCTTATGGTCACATGCCAGAATACGTGTGTGTGTGTGTGTCTATCTGTCTGCAAGGCAGGGCTGACAATTTTTTAAAATAGTTATTATTTATTCAGTTTTATTTATTATTATTTTTTAAAAAATTCACATAGGACACTTGTGCTCAACAGAGACAGACAGAAAGGGAGAGACAGAGAGAGAAAGTGAGAAAGCAAGACTCCAGGTCTGGAACTCCATTGAGGTCCACCATGTGGGAGTCCAGCGTCCCAACCATCACTCCACTTGATGGCCCAGGGATGACATCTTGAACTGTGCACTCAGATATAAGGTGGGCGTATCCACAAATACTGATCTTTAACAACACAATGTGACCATCCATACATTTACTGTGGAGATAGGTTGAATCCGAATGAACAAGTGTGCACTGAGACCTGCTTGGCACTGTTTCTCCTGGGTCCTGTGGGGTGTGCGGGGACAGGACTGACGCTCCTCCTCTGATTTCAGGGGAGGAGCCAACCCTAGGATAGCGGAGAGCAGCCTGAGGGGAAGGGGGAAGTAGGCAAAGGTACCAGAGGTCTCGGGGCTTCCTTGCGTCAGGCTGGTGGTGGTGGGTGTGTAGGGGTCAGTGAGGTGGGAGATGGGGCTTGGCAGGACTCTCAGGTGGTAGAACATGCCAACCAGGAGGCAAGGAACCTGTGCAGGCCTGAGGGGCAGAGCACCCGGCGAGGAAAATGCATGTGAAAGCGAAGCACACAGCTGGACCGGTCAGGCAGGGGCTACCTGCGCCAGGTCCTCTGCCCGTTGTCTCCACCACAGCACCCAGAACAGGAGGGTGCCCCCCAGCAGCACGGCCAGGCCCAGCCGCCAGGTCCTCTTACGGGCCTCCTGCCCAGGCCAGAGCCAGGCAAGCAGCCAGTTCACCCGGGGCACCTGCGTGCAGGCCGCCACCTCCTTTGCCATCCTGCGCAGCTGCTCCTCAGGGCCTACCCCACGAAGGGCCTGCGCCTGGCAGTACAGGTCGTTGGTGTAGTGCGCGCCCCCGTGCTCTCTCACCAGGCGCTCCACCAGCCCCAGCAGCTGCTGCACCTGGACCTGCTGCTCCGTGCCGCTGGCTCGGTTGTCCAGCGCACAGAAGCGGCCCCCGCACGCCGCCACCAGCTCCCTGAGCGCGCGGTTGTCAGTGCAGCGCACGAACTCCTGCAGCGAGTCCCCAGCCAAGTCCTCCTTCCTGGTGAAGACGACTATGGTGTGCTGCAGCACCGCCTCCCCGAACATCTGCTTCAGCCTCCGCACAGCCTGCTGGTCCTGGGCGGTGAAGCGGCCCAGCTGGGTCACCAGGAGCAGCGCGTGGGGCCCCGGGGCGGACAGCAGGTAGCAGCGCGCCCTCTCCCTGCACTCTGCGTCTGACTTGGAGGGGTCAGGGCCGAAAAGGTCCGGGGTGTCGATGACTCGCACGTGCCGCTCGGCCCACCTGCAGCTGGCGGCTTCACAGGTTTTGGTCACGGAGGTGGCTCCAAGCCTGGAGAGGAAGCGTCTCTCTCCCAGGATGCTGTTTCCGGTGGCGCTTTTCCCTGCTCCGGTTTTCCCCACCAGGAGGAGCCTCAGCTGGGGCTCCTGCCAGGCAAGGGTGTCCTCTTCTGACCCTGGAGAACAAGTAATTTATTGTCCTACATAAGGTAGGTCGACCAGAATGTCCTTACCTTTAAGAAGACAAAAGCGTGGTGGGGGGTAGGGGGCGGAGATTTGAACTTTCCCATTAAACTTGACCTTTGAGCAGTCTTAAAGAATTTTGGCCTTCTGGGCAGTTGGCCTCCATCCTTCCTGTGTATTGTCTGAATTTTCCCGCAGGCAGCTCTCTATCTCCAACTGCCCCCGGGCATTTCAGACAATGCTCCCGTGTGGTTTCAGGCCATTACTTCATGTGACTCTCTCTGGCCACCCACACACCGGCAGACCAACTTTACACTGACTACATCGCTGGACTCTGATATTTTCCCAGGCACCATCCCAAGCGAGTTAGTACTGCCCGGTAGTTAGCAAAGAGCCATCTTATCGCTGGACTCTGATATTTTCCCAGACACCATCCCAAGCGAGGCAGTACTGCCCGGTAGTTAGCAAAGAGCCATCTGGAATTCCAGACGCCACACTTTGAATCACAGCCCCTCAATGGACTGGTTGTGTAACTTCCGGGAAGTGGCTTTTCTTGCTTTAATCCTTTTCTGCAAAGTGGGAATAGCAATGTAGGGTTGGTTTCTTAGGGCTGTTGACCTCTCAGATAGGGTAGGGTTTCCTACCTTCTTCCCTGCCTCTCCCTTCCCTCCTTCTCCCCGTCTCTTAACCCTGATGCCTAAACAATACCTGCTCCAAGCCTCTGTCCTTGTTCTCTAATGTATTCTACCTAGCAGATTGCGTTCATCTAGTGCAAGATTGATCCCTTCTATATCTCCTTCTGTGGAGATCTCAGCAGATTTACTGTCCTCCTTTCATATGTTGGGAACGGAGGGACAGGCTCGTCAAAGAACTTAACATCTCACAGCGAAGCAAAGGCACAGGTCCAGCTGGCGAATCTCAGGGTTCTTGCTGTCTTATTCCAGAGTAGAGTAACCTCCAGGACTGATCTCTGTTCAGTCTTGAGTAAACCCCGTTCTCCTCAGTACCCTAAGCTCAAACCTGGGTGTGGGTGAAGGGGTTGCAGAGATGTGTTCTTACCGTAGGCGTTTTCTTCATCTCTTGCCATCTTCCGTCCTCCCATGCTTACCTGAAACAGTCACCAACACAACATGTACATTTAGTTATTCATTCCTCACGTAGGCATCGTCACCCATAATGTGTCCGGTGGCGTCTGAAGAGCTAGGGACACTGCAGTGAGGAGACGTGACTTCCGCCTGCCAGCATCTCAGGAGATAAGTTTGTGTCTTGGGGGAGAGGCAAGTGACTCTTGTCTCTTGTTCAATCTTTTTATAGTTACCAATTAGACAATTACTATTATTTCTAATTTGCATATAATAATTGTACATATTTAGGAGTACAGCATGTTTTTCTAAAACATGTAGACACTGCATAATGATCAAGTTAGGGCAATAAATATATCCACCATCTCAAATATTTATCACTGCTTGTGTGAACAGTCAAGACCCTCTCTTTGAGCTATTTTGAAATACATGAAGAAATCTTCAGAAAGTTCAGGGAATTTGCATATTATGGAAAAAACTACACCTGGATTTAAAATTTTTACCAAAAGAAAACTCAATTCATTTTTTTTAACACACTTTGTGACTCCTCTTGTACAATAATGTGTCACCAGCCATCATTACCTGAGAACCACCCACTTGTCTGTCCTCGCCTATCTGTGAACTAAGGGCTTCCCCTCCCCCAGCTCTCTCCCATTGCCCACTCTGGTATCCACCATTATGTTCTCCATTTCTGTGCAACAGAATCTTTTAGTTTTCACCGAGTGTGGATACACGGCATTTACCAGGTAAATTGTGTCAATTAAAATAAATTGTGCCAGTCCTTATTTAGGGATAACATCAGAATGTTCAAGAATAACATTGGAAGGGCTGTCATTCCGACCTTGGGTTGGAATGACAGTCTAAGAACATTTGGTGAGCCTTGATTTGTCCTTTTAGGGACTTCAGATACAAACAGCAAGAGATACTCTTTCCTCTATGCCAAGGGGCAAGCTATAGGTATTACTTTTTCCCTGGTAATACTACGTCAGTGATTGGAGCTACTGATATTAAATTTCCCCAGGGGATTCAGGAGCCAGGGGAGACTGAGACAAATCCTGAGAAACCAACACTCGGGATTTGAGACTTAGAGTAGCAGGCCTAGGAAACAAACAGCAATGGAATTCTTCTGGAAACTGGAAAACAGACACAGCTCCCACGCTGAAGTGTCTCTGACTCCTCTCATAAAACCAAATGATCTGGCTTCTCTGAGGCCATATTTCTAGCCATATGTCTAAATACGATCTGTGTGCTGGAGAGACCGGGTGCTTCCCTCAACTCCTCATGTTCTTCCCTCCAAATCCCAGGGCTTTCTACGT